CAGTTGTGTTATTAAAAAAAAACTACTATTGTTATAAATAACACATTCAATTGAACTAAACTATGCATGCCTATTTAAATATACTAACACATGGCTTGTGTATATACATATATATTATTCATACCTTCCATGTATAGGACGCAAGCAGATTTTGACATCAAATTTAGGGGTAAAAAAGTGTGTCTTATACACCGAAAAATACGGTATTTGTTTTTCATTAACACATTCAGTAGGATGCCTCAACAGTTTACCACCCCAGCCAGATATAGTGATAAATATGTAAACTTTCTGGATTTCATATTCCATAAGAAGTGTTACAAAATTCCAAAAGAAATATTGAAACATATGTAACAGATCAACATTTCGAAATGATTCAGTATAGACTGAACACACTCGCAACTCTGTCTCTCAAGATTAATTGACAGGTACACTACGTTTTGATCATGTGGTTGACAACCATGAAGTCAGGCAAGAAAAGGTTTTAAAAATTAGTGTTGCATATTTGGGATGTATAACACAAAGGCTTTCAAACTCGATCTAGCTTAGGACCCCCAAATCATTTAATGTGGCCCTGCTGCCTATTATTAAAGTAATTATTTGTGTGCATTAAACCAGCAAAGATTTCAAATCATAACAACAAATTATTAAAACTTCAAAGGACCTGCTTACAAATCTTTAATTTATTGAGTCTATATAAAGTTCTCATTAATATATCTATATATATATATTCAAGCGATTATGTTCCACTTGAGTGAAATTGTAGAGAACAGTATCTAAATTACTCATTTTCAAGAAGTTTTAAAGCTAGTTAGAGCTTAGGCTGAACTAATTACAATATATAGTTATAAAAACAGAAATCACGTGAAACTAAAATATTCAATATTCTCATAAATTTACAATTTACACAGATTGGCTTCTTATTTTCGAGCTTTTTTAATGTTAGAATGGAATACCTTCTTCTTCTAGTGGGAGAATAGCATTTTTCAAGTCAAAAGTGACTTGTATAGACCAAGATTTTGTTCCTAATAAAACAAGCATTAAATCTATCGTTTGATCAGTAGTAATTTCATGGACTTCAACACACAAATTTGGGGTTAGATTCCCTGTGATGGACAGAACTCAGGTAGCCTATTGTGTAGTTTTGTGCTAAAAACAATGTTATCATATAAATAGCCTAAAGTTGTGAAGTGTAAAATACAATCAAGTAGAAAGGAATTTTAAGAAAATGTAAAACAGCACGAATAACTAGAGATGTAAGATGAGAAGGTAATTAGAATCTCCTAGTAAAGAGAAAAAAATTCAAGTGAAATTTTTTTTAGAGTAAACTGATACTGCTAATGAGCAGTATTATAGGTACTGAAACTAAAAATGATATGATCAGTGGTTTCAAACACAGTATTACGATGAAGATAATATGGAGAGTTTGTTTTGCAAATTGTGTAAAGAGTAAAGTTAAGCCTGCAAGTTCTCAACTTTAATAGCTTTTAAACAGTAAGGTTCCTGGTTAAGTGAATTGCAAAAAAGAATAAGTAACGAAGTCAACTGAGGGGGCTTTTTTTCAACAAAGTATAAGAAAAAAATAATAATTGATGGGAAAATCAATGGAGGAAGAGTCAGAAGACAAGAGTTATTTTGGCAATTGTATCAACTATTTCATTACCAAAAGTAGTAATGTGACTAGGTATTCAGACAAATAATTTGGCAGTGAAAACAAATTATATGAGAGTGATGCAAACAACTTCCCCACAACAAGCAAGAGTGAATATATGTTCCTGAAGTGAAAGCTAAAAGACCACTTAAACAATCAGGGAAAATAATGTTTGGAAATGAGTTATCAGCAAACCATGAGAACCAAGAAGTTTAATTCACCAAACACATAATCTTTCAACTACTTATCCTTCTTTATGGATTCTATAGTTTGAAAAAGTGGTACACCACAACTGACATACTTTAAAATATTTGTCACACAATCTTTCAAGTTATAAGGTTCCCTGCACTTGTAAATAATAGATACATCATAAAAGTGAGCACCTACATGGCCAAAATGCAAGCATTGGTAACAGTGAGTATGATTACTAATGTAAGGCCTCACAGGAAGATACTTCAGTAGGTAAGTACATCCCAGTAAGTGTGATAAACACTACTCATGTCAACTATACCATGCTTGTCCCTTCTTTAAAACCTTTTTTTACTGAAATAATTTTACATACAGAGCTAGTTATTCTATTACGACAGCGGAAGTCACGTGACGCTGGAAGCATGGCGCTAGAGTTTCCAGAAGTGTCATGACTGTTCCTGGCAACTCTGGTCTTTTCTAAGCACCCTCTATTTTAGTATATAAGCCCGACAAATAAAGCGGAGATATAATTGCAGATAGACAGCTATAGAGACAGATAATTGAGTCAAGTGAGCGGTAGTGACCGTAAGTAAAGTGCGTGAATCGTTGTGAATTGTTACGTCTCGGTTCGTTAGTTAATTTTCTGTAACTTCGTTCTGACGAAACTTTAGCGACACAAGTCCTTTCTTAAATAAAACTGGTTTATTCTTTCTGAATATAACTTTGTATGCCCTTTCTTTACAGTTCTATTCTTTGCTTTAACATTGACTGGCTCTACCTCCTGGCACACACCCAACAATGCCCCTTCCTTAAATGTCTGC